TACACCATCACTGGTTTTAATTTGCAGTCACCTTCAGTATTACCTCAAAACAATAAGGTATAACAATCCTTAGCGACCTTGAAGCCTGGTGCTGATTTTTCCTCGTGAGATATACGTTCGTGCTGGCATTCTCTTCCAAAATAGAGCAGTTTCATCCAAATTGAAAATCTGCTTGCAGAGCCTCCCTTCTAAATAATACCCTTCAGAGTTCTGACAAATTGCTTGACAGCCACGGCATCGGCAGATGCAGCCTACACACTCATCTTGATAATGTGATATCCGTATCTTCGCCTGTAGTTAGCAAACCAACCAGAATTAGCACTGAATGGTCTCACTGGGACTTCTTCATCCTTCTGTAGCTCTTGGATTGCACACACTTTTGCCTGGGCTAGCAACATGCTGACTGGTACGTCGCACTGATTTTGATCTTCGATCCACGTACTCCGCATCCTTTCCATGTGCTCCATTATAGAACTCCGAGCATAAGAGGTTTTCGTTGCACTTGCAGATGTTCCTGATTAAGCACTGTTCTTTATCTTCTCAGCATTGTTTCGAATAGTACGAACAGTGCTCTCACTTAAACCAAGCACGAGGCCAACATCCGACACACGGTCTCCTCTCTCAAGGCGGGTGATCACATTTAATTTCACATCCATTGTGATTGTTTTTCGTGCCTTTTTAGCTTTAGGCGCTCCAGAGGAGGCAGATGGATGTTTTCCAGACATACTCAATGGGGAAAACAGCATTTAACACTAAAAAGGTGCGTGATAAACACACACTGCAAATGAGAGCACAGAGAAAAAGTAGTGCTTATGTGAAGTGAGAAAGCGATATGCGGGAAGCTTGCTGGACGTCGTCACAGTTGTTGTACAGAATACTTGATTGTCATCATTATCTTCATCATTAGTAGTAATAATCTTTAATACATTATTATAATAATTACCTGTATTATTATTAATAATAATATTAAAATTGTTGATGTTGATATGACTGCGACTTATAGTAATACTTATTAGCACCTCACCAGGCATCACACACTACTCCATTGCCAGGTGACCAGGCGAATACGCGCAGCAAATTTAAACTGTCTTGAGCGCCTTATTTAAAAAATAGGTGTGCTTAAATTAGCTTTTGGTATAAATTGAACAATCGCGTTATTGCAAAAACGCTTTAATCAAAGGTGCGTAAAAAGCGGGGTACCAGTACACTTTATCCTCATTAATTCGGATTTGGGCTTAATTCTAATGTTGTTGTTCTTTTTAATGAATAAATAAACAATTTGAATTTGGAATGAATCTGAAATAACCGTGCTGTTCCTAAAAATCAATAATAATTATAGGAATATATTTTGAAATAAATTAAGATGAATGAATCATTGAAATAAAATATGAATTGTATTAAGATACAAAACTAATTGGATGAGTAGGTGAGGGGTGGCAGAGGAGGGAGGGAGGGAGGACAACTCATCATCTTCCGCTCAGCAGCCTGTTACCCCTTTATTATGACAGCAAGCAATTTCACCATAATTCCCATATTATTTAGGTTCATTTGATGCCGAGTTAATAAAACATGATTGAAAATTGTTTATTTTTACTGCGAAAATCCAACATTTAATACCAGATGAGCTATTGAGGTCTCTTGTTTACAGTACAGAGCAGTATCAGGTGATCATTCTTGGTCTCCCCAGCAATATTGGCGACACCCACCATTTCTCAAGCACTGGATTTTTCAGTAATTCGAGTGACTCAGAGCCACCTTTCTGTCAAATCAGCCTAAGTAAGTGAAAGATCACTAAATTAATGCTATACTGCTACCCATGCTACTCATGGATTTCTGCATAAGCTATAACCATGGTCATATTTCAACCAATTGCGTAAGCGATAACTGTGCTTGCGAAACCCATGTAAAATGAGACCCCAGTGTACTTGACTCCTAGACAGCAACCCATCGTTTGTGTTGACCAACCCTTGTTTGCCAATGCCAAACTTATACAGTGGAACTGGTCAGATATTTTCAAGGAAGACATGTTCATGAACATGTTTGCTTCCATTCACACTGAACAAGCCTTCCTTTGAACATCGGTGTCAGATGGCCACAGGTTGCATTGCCAGATATTTTACCCAATCAATCAATCCTGTGAACAACTGGTCAGTTCATGGTAGAATGTGGGTGGATAAAAAATCCCCAAGAGGCTGAACAATATCAAGGTCAAGAAGAGATGATTCTGGATGGGTTCTTTTCATTTATGTAATCCCTTAATTTGTCTGAATAAATAAAACTTGCACATTAATGTTGGCCTGTAAGTTTACCTTCCAGTTACCATCCTGACAAGACCCCAGAAACTGTAGTTAAGAATCAGTAGGCTACATCCCCTACTGTTTCTTCTTATATTCATATTTGGCAATACCAAAACATCAGAAAATTATACCAAGGATCAGTGAGAAACGAAGACATAGTTTTATCCAATTTTGAGGACCCGATAGTCCAGCAGCTTCGATGGTTCGGAACGCATATAGTGAAAACTTATTATTAGAGGGAAAATTGGGATATGTTAATAAAAGTCAACAGTAATGCTATAAAAGTTGTGGAAAAATTATTACAATTATCACAACCTGTACTCGAATGTACTAATTACTAAAATTTTTATGTCTAGTGCAAAATAAGGGATGTTTATACTCAAATTAATCGCTGCCTTGCAAGAATTCCAGCAATGCAAGTTATATTCTGCGAAGTCAAACCAATGGTATTTTATAACTGAAAAACTTAAACTCCCTCTACTGTATAATCCTGAGTCCCTGACATGTCCCCCCTCCACTGATAACAACAGACCCAGTAATCTCCCCTCTTGCCTGTCAACACCTTCCCCCTCCTCCCAGCCAGAAGGCAATAAGGATTTTAGAGGGTGAAGGTGGTTTTAGGCTTAATTTTTTTTTTTTTATAAAATGGCACAGACTTGACTTAGCAAAATATAACTTGCATTGCTGGAATTCTTGCTATATAGCAATTAATTTGAGTATACACATCTCATAGTTTGCACAAGATAAAATTTTTAGTCCTTTAGCTTAGTACATTTGAGTACAAAATGAGAACAGTAATATGTCGCTCAAAATTATGGCTTTTCCAAACAGGGAAAAGTCTGTATAACTAGCCCCAGTGGTCAGGATATTATGGCATTGAATTTTACAGAGTATTTAAAATTCTTTGTTTAGTTCTGAACATATATGGGAATTGCCATATAGTGAATGGCATAAAGCGAGGGTCCAGTGTACAGTAAACATGTGCCATAGCACTAACACTTTGTTATAAAGAGGTCCAGTAAGCCTGGGCTAGATATATGCTGATGTAAGTTATATTGGTACCAGGAATGGTACATTTTATGCAGTATTTTGCCTTTTTTTAACCTCAGCATCAATGGTTCGGAATTTTCGCTAATCCGGAACCGGTCTGGTCACAAGTTTCCTGAATTACTAAGGTCCAACCTGTATATTGGTCCAGGGTCAGAATTTGATGTTTATGAGTTTATCATTGCATTCTGTGGCTCAAATACACTTGGAAACAATACCCAAGTTATTAATATACAGCATGTCAAAAATTATTATTTTTTAACTACCCAACATTTTGGAAAATTGTCCTCAAAATCGAGTTCTAAAGGGAAATTTTTGGGGACTCTCCTTCTGATAACCTCTAGGGGCCATAAATGACACGTGTGCCAAGGGAAACATTTCTTTCATCAAATGCCATATATTTCCACCATCTACACCCACTATGTTTGTGTACCCGAGTCTGAGAGCGAGTGTATGTAAAAGCTTGTGTAAGTCCACACAATACAGTATTACCCCGCTTTATGCGGTTTCACTTTACGCGATTTCTCATATACGCAGTGCCTCGCCAGAACCGAACTTTCACTTTCCGTGCTTCATCTACCCATATACGCGCAGAGTGTCCGGCTCGACGCTATTTTTAGATTCGCCCCACCCGCCTGCTCCCTGCTCCCGCCTCCTCCCTCCTCCCGCCTCCGCCTGGGCAAGCCGCGAGGTAAGGTTGCCAGTGCATGTCTCTGTTGCGTTATCACTGACGTCATATGACGTATCGGACTGTGATTGGCCATGCATCCCTACCCCCCTCTGCTGTTAGCTGTAATTGGTTTAAAGTAATATGACGTGTCCACCCGGGGAGGGAGGGAGGGAGGGAGGGAGGAAAGATGACGCTTGACCTAGCCGCGGCAGTTTCATCCCTTCAGGCCACACCGTGTATACGTGCATCCATTGTTCTGTGATAGTGACAGTGAAGGTGACTTTGAGGGATTTGTCAGGGAAGCCCTGACAACTGTAACTGATAGTGATGGTGATGCACCTAGTAATGGTGATTCACCTGAGGGCCAGTAATCTGCCCTCTGCCTCGGAACCAGCCTCCATCCCCGTATGCCGACCCATCTCTTCTACTAACGTAAGTGTTACACCTAACTTTTAGTTTTCCTAACCTAACCTTTATTTTTCCTAACTTAACCTTTATTTTTCTATATTACTTGTTTGTGCATACCATCATAAAGTTAAGATAAAATTTTTACTACAACATAGTTGTGTGTCGTCAAAAAGTGGAGTTTGGGGGTCGGGCCAGTCTCTATTGGAATTAATCCCATATGTTCTGTTGTTCCATTAACGCGGATTTCACTTTCCGCGGTACCCTGTGGGTTCAATTGACCGCGTAAATCGGGGTACTACTGTACTGTATACTTTTGTACTGTACAAGGTATTACTCTGTTGGCAGTCAAAAAAGGCAAAAAAAAAAAAAGTGTCTACTTAAAATGCCCATACTAGGTACAAGAAGAATTTCCACTAAAGGAAGCAGATTAACCATAGAGCAGGACAATAAAGCATCGTGATCAATGTTTCTACCTCCAGTCCAACTCCCCTTATTAAGTCACACTAGCAAGAAATGGTGAATCTTTTGAAAGAGCAAGTATGGAGAAAGGCTTAAATGTAGGGGGAAGCAGCTCTGACCTTTGACAGAAGCATGAGCCTTGTTGCCAGTGTTGATGTTAAGGAAGGCTCCAGTTCCCAGTGACACCTTCACATCACCTCGCTGGAACCCACATGAACCAAACAGGGAAGCACCTTGGTCTGATACCTGAAAGTGATTATACAGTACATTATATATCTCTCTTTCTGTGTGTGTGTGTGTGTGTGTTTATTTTGCATAATGTGGCCTCACTTAAATTTGCTGAATTATAATATAGTTTATATATAATGGAACATATTGATATAAAGAAATCAATGATCTACTATTAAATACTTGGAGTTTGATGCATGGAAAACATAAGTTTTAACAAAACATTGCAAGGGGCTTCATGACTAGCCTGTAGACCAGAGCTCACTCACAGCATTTGCTTTGGTAGTTTCAACACCTTGCTTCAATACAATATGTTACCTCTTTGATACTTCCCTGGTAAGTGTTACTATTGTACAGCATTTACGTTATTAAATGTACGGTAGAATCCCAGTTAACTGATATCCAGGCGACCGGTAGATTAAACTAAGTAGCACCAACATGAAATAATAATAATAATAAAAATAAACATTCCTCCAAAATCAACTAGAAACATAAATTTGAATACAGGTTGTACCTCTCTAGTCCAGCAACCTCGGGACCTGACCGGTGCCGGACCATGGAAATTGCCGGACCATGGAAATTCACCCTTTTCCTGGATAGATAGTGACTTGTGCTTATGCCTGGAAGCACTAGCACCACTTTCTCTGCATCATGGTTTCTTTGAAGACATATTGAAGGGTTAAATGTCGTATAGTAGCTTCTCAAATTTCGCGAGTTTTTAATTCTTAACGTATTTTATTGGAACAAACAAAAAAATAAATAAATAAAAATTTTGACGGCGGAAACTTGAATTTCGACGGGTTTGAACGGCCCGTCAACATGCAGACGACGTGCACAATCGTGTAAACAGCGTCATTTCTCTTATGTACAAAAGATTCATTATTGTTTATTACTGAATGTCATTTTTTATTGAATTAACGTTTATGTGTGCAAAATGAGCAATACAATTCATTAATAATAAGTAGAATATTAAAACACACGAGGAAATGACACAGCATTGTATTTGTTGATTACAAAACCAGTGACTGGTTCTACATATAAAACTGAAGAAAATAAGACCTTGGTTGTAGCTGTAGTAAAATTAATATGGTTGTTTTAAGTAATGTTATTTAATGTTAATAAATGGAACAATAGAAGTAGCTAACGATAATGGTAAAGAAAAAAGAGAGATCGCATATGTAAGTGCGCATGCGCACACGTGAAAGCATATCATCATTACTTTACATAAGAATATGAAAGCAACACTTATTTACTGTTCATATATATTTTAATTAATGTTTCTGAATTTGTTTTTATTGAATTAATGTACGTGTGTGCAAAATTAACAATACGATTTATTAATAATACGTGGAATATTAGAGGAGACGAGACGGCTGCCGGCATTGTTTATGTTAAAGCTTACGAAACCAGTGACTGATTGGTTCTACATATAAAACTGAAGAAAATAAGACCCTGAGTTTAGCTGTAGTAAAATTAATGTAAAAAAATGAATATGGTTACTTGAAGTACCTGAAATGTTATTTAATGTAAATAAATGGAACAATATAAGTAGCTAACCATTAATGGTAAAAAAAAAAGTGAGACTGCTCATATGTAAGTGCGCACATGTGAAAATATATCGTCATTACTCTACATAAGAATATGAAAGCAACACTTATTTACTGCTCATATATATTGAAGGGTTAAATGTTGTACTCTGTATAGAAAAGCAGAGAGAGAGAGAGAGATAGCAGCTGAACTGCCGGATGTAAACAAACCTTAATTTCCCGCGGCTTTTTTTTTTTCTTTTAAGGGGATTAGCCCACCGGGGAATAGGTCACTGACCCACATTAGGGCCTGAGGGGCAAAAATTTAATACTCCTGTAATAATAATAATAATTCAGATAAGTAAAAAAAAAAAGAAAAAAAAGCTGCCTATCTACCTATTGGACAAACTAAAATCGTTCCGGACCACGGGAGTTTCCGGACCACAGAATGCCGGACTAGAGAGGTACAACCTGTACTGTGCTCAACAGGGATGAGCTGCCATATTTTTTGCTATGATAAACAATAAAATCAATATGTACCATATCATAAAATAAAATAGCATATATTTTGTATAAAAAAATAGCTCGTTTCACACTCAAACCATCTTCTGAGCACTGCAACACACCTCAGGCAGTCAACCAGTTGACTCGCAGACATGTGGCAGCCACGCTGGTTGTGTGTATGCCGTGATGTCACATCACGAAGGAGCACAGCCACACAGTTATAGCCCACCGCCTCCACACGCATTCACTTCCCACATACAGTACGCACTTCATTTATTTTTATTTTATAGTTTTATATTATATTTTCTTTATTTTGAAGTCACATCATTTATATCAAATGGAATAAGTGATAAAGAAGTCCATTTTTCTTAGACACAAATTTATAAGGTCAGCCTATAGAACTGTGCATTGTAGGATTTATTGAGGGGTCCTTAGAGTGAGTTTCAACTAACCATAAAAACTCTTTCTCCGGCAACTCTCAATTGTCATAGATGCCGGATAACTGGGATTCTATTGTATTTATATTCCCACATATTTATTAATGATTCAGATTGAATGGTTGTCAATAGAGAAACTTTTTCACTTAATGTACAGTAGGCTCACCACTTTCACAGAATCTAGATTCGCGATTCACCACATTTGCGAAAGGTTCCAAATGTGCTCATCATTCAAATTCATGCACTTCCTCACCACTTTCACAGCTATAATGCACTGTCACGGGGCATTGTGGGTCTGACATCACACCGTCAGAGCGTCGGCAGCAGCCCTTGTTTAAATCAGTGGAGGGTTTTGGGTACAGACAACTTTTAAGTAGCCAACTGTGTGTCGCTCTTACGGTTCAGGAATTTTAATTCTAAAAATGTACATATTTTGAGTTTAGATAGATAGATTTATTGAGTTATATCAAATATTTTACATTGTTAAGGGTTCAAGTTTTGACCTGGACACGTGTGAGAAGGGTGTTATCCAGTGTGACCCTACCAAACATAACAGGTTTCCAGATTCCAATAAGTTGATTATAATCGACCTGCATGAGTTTTGATGTTTTCAAACTAATATGTTTTCCCTAACCTGTTTTTAATGTTGATTTGAGATATGACTTCAGTTTTCGTCTATCACGCAAGGTTTATTGACAAATGGAATCCTTGAGGCAAAGGCCATTGTTCAGTGTTGCATCAGCAACTGTAGTGTTAAATCTCCTTGTTTTGCTCTACTAAGATACTATTCCTGTGGTAAATATGTCTTCTCGTGGATGTTTGAATAATCCAAACGTATTCTGCTACATATGTGGGTGTTTTGTTGTGAATAAGCAACAAGAAATAACCACATTCGTGAAAAATGCCTATTTTGCTTACTTTGGAGTGAAAATAGGTGATTCAGATAAACCATGGGTGCCACATAAAGTACAGTTGTACCCCACTTAACGCGGTCAATAAAACCCAGAGGGTACCGCGTTAAGTGAACAACAGAACATATGGGATTAATTCCAATAGAAACCGGCCCGACCCCCAAACTCCACTTTTTGACGACACATAACTATGTTGTAGTAAAAATAACATCTTAATTTTATGATGGTACATGCACACAATTAATACTTAAGAGAAATAGAGAAATACAGTCGCCAAGTTAATGTCCATTCAAATAATGGACTCAACTCCCTCCCCCTCTTCTCACACTACACTGCTGGCTCTTCCCTCTCTGAGAAATTTTTGGGGGAAAACCACTAAATTTTAAAAAATAATACCTCAAACTAAAGTTAGGATAATACAATTGACATTGCTGGATTCCTTGTAAGACCAGGAATATTTTGAATATAAATGTCATATATTTTGCACAAAAGATAACATATTTACTCAGAGAAAACATTTTATCTAAAATTTGTATGTCTAATGCAAAATATATGATGTTTATATTCAAAATGATCACCAAATTGTAAGAATTCCAGCAATGTAAATTATATTCTGGCCGGGTAATTTGTATGAATTTTATGAGCTAAAACAAATATCTTCAGTTAATAAAAAAAAAATATTCTTCATGACATTATCTGTCAATCAAAGTACCCCACCTTGACTCCCCCCCTCTTCCAACCGAGCGGTCAGTCAGTCCCAACCCTCCCCCCCACCCCCCCCAATCCTCCCTTCAAGAGAAAGATTGGGTGAAAAAAATAAATTTTAACATTTTGTATTAAATAATACCTCAGATTAAAGTTAGGATAATATAATTGACATTGCTGGATTCCTTGTAAGACCAGGAATATTTTGAATATAAATGTCATATATTTTGCACAAAAGAGAACATATCTACTCAGAGTAAACATTTTATCTAAAATTTGTATGTCTAATGCAAAATCTATGATGTTTATATTCAAAATGATCATCAAATTATAAGAATTCCAGCAATGTAAATTATATTCTGACCGGGTAATTTGTATGAATTTTATGAGCTAAAACAAATATCTTCAGTTAATAAAAAAAAAAATATATTCTTCACAGGGTAACAGATGGTCGGTCGGTCCCTCCCTCCCCCCCACCCCCCACCAACCGTCCCAAGGAGATGTGTGGGAAAACCAGAATATTTAACTTTTTAGTAATAAATAATACCTCAAACTAAAGTTAGGATAATATAATTGACATTGCTGGATTCCTTGTAAGACCAGGAATATTTTGAATACAAATGTCATATATTTTGCACAAAAAATAACATATTTACTCAGAATAAACATTATATCTAAAATTTGTATGTCTTATGCAAAATCTATGATGTTTATATTCAAAATGATCATCATATTGTAAGAATTCCAGCAATGTAAATTATATTCTGGCCTGGTAATTTGTATGAATTTTATGAGCTAAAACAGGCAGTCAGGCAGGGTGGCGGGTGGGGCAAATCTAAAAATAGCGTCTCGAGCCGGACACTCACCGCGTATATGTGGAAAAAATCCGTGTTAAGTGAAAGTTCGCTTCTGGCGAGGCACCGCGTATATGAAGA